GGCAGTGGGGCTACTTTCAGTAGGAGAGCCTGCTGTCGGGACCCAGAAACCGCCCTGCGCAATCTTGGGGGTAGCATTGCGCGCCTTGCTTGGCGGAGCCTGCAACTTGAAAGGTTTCTCGGGAGAGTTGGAAGGCAGGGGCTGGCTCGCGAAGGCGGATGTTGACTCGACGGCCTGGGCGCCAGGAGTGAAGCTCGGCGCTTGGGTGATTTCAGAGAGGGAGTTGTAGGTTGAGGGTGGGAATCGCGGCGACATCGCGTATTGCGAGAACGAGGGCGACTTGGGGCCGAAGCCAGGCGTGTTAGGGGCCGATTGTGAGCGTAGCTGCGCCAGGTACAAGTCCGAGCGGGCGCGGTCACGCATGTCCATTGACTTGGTCAACTTGCGCTTTGTGATGTATCGGTAGAAGACAATGCTGTAAAGTGTGATCGTAAACACATCGAGGACGATTTCAATAAGGGCGCATATCAAGGACCAGTTCTATTAAACATAGATCGATCAGTAACCGCAATAGACATCTGGCGGGTTCTACAAGGAATATACAAACTCACCTGAAGTCGGCAGACGAGCGCATAGTCAACCTTCTGGGAGAAGACCTCGGCACGCTTATTTTCAACGCAGGCCCATCCCCACATGTCCTTATTGTTGCTGTTGTTGCGAGTGAATTGAAGAATCCCAGCGGCGGCAGCCCATAGGACCGACGAAGCAATGAACCAACCAACCGCAAACAAAGTGTAGTAGACGCCTACTTTCTCGGCGCGGTGATGGCCTCCTCGGAGATAACCAATGAAGATGAGAATGCAAAGTATGAGATTGACGCCCGAGACCGAAAGGACAACGACCTGCGGCCACAGTTTGGTGTTTTCCGCCCACGGCGGCAGGCCACTTTGCGCGGCCAGATGATTTGTCGTGCGGAAGATATTGAAGGAAACCGCAAGCAGGGAGATGATGATCAAGCTGCAGCTGAAGCTAATTCCACGCAGGGCGAACTTCGCCATTCTGACCCTGTATTTGAGACCCTAGAGACTGGTGAGTACAAAAGGGACCACATTTTCTCTATTTGCTCACGAAAACTTACCACATCCCGCTTTTGCGCCGCTTCAGTATCCTTTTCTCTGGCCTCAAGGATATCCTCTTCTCTGAAGGTTGGGCTCAGGGGATTTTCCAATTTCCTCGCCGGTGTCCCAGGGATTCTCATAGCGCTCTTTAGGGGAGACTTTGGCGTCATAGGCATGTTGACTGTTTGCGTCCGCGTATCATCATTTATGTATCCAAAGCCTACATCGGCCGGCTGGGGTTGTGCGATATTTGAGCTCTCATCACGACCGCCAAAGGGGTTGTTCGTCTGCGGCTCGATGGGAGAATACACTGTGGTGGCCTCTGCGAACCTGGGCGTTCTCGGTGGCTTTAGTGAGGATGTGGTAGTAAATGATCCATCCGTCGACGATGACCGCGAGGGTGTCAACTTAAGGGCGGTAGGACGCCTCTTCTCATCTGGCGACGCCATTGTGATTTTGATTGTAAAATGGTCGAGGGGAAAACAAGCGCTCGTCCCTGCGAGTCGGCTATCTATACAGCAGCGTATAGTAAGAAGTGCTTCGCGAACCAAGTCTATAGCTATGCGGTCCGGAGTAGGGTGAAGCAATCTTGAGAAGAAAAAAGACTATGGAGACCAGCTATCGAAGAAAAGGAATCCTCGAGACCAGTGACGGCAGGGAGGTACAGGTTTTGAATAAGCGCCGTCGGGCGTGCTGCGAGCTCATTCGACCTCTGCTGAAGCTTCCGCATAGACGGCCGGTGGGGATAGCACAACGTGCAGCATGCAATGGGATCGCTCACGGTGGGCCGGGGTGTTCAAGGTCTGTCCGAACGAATGCCTCTGATAGGGCGGTTGGAAAGAACTCCAATCTCGAGTGGACGAGCCTAGGGTAGATAGACGCCGCAGGTGACGGGATGCCGCCGCACAATGGCTCGATGTATCGGAGCGCCCTGGTCAGCCGATGCCACTACAAGTACGGAGTAGTAGGTATAAGATGCTAGGCCGAAGCGCAGAGGACAGGTCAGACAAGCAGGATGTTCCACGAGAGAGGGCGAGGGTGGAGGGAGAGAGCAGGCGTGTTACGGGAACTCGACCCCAACACCAAGAATGATGCCGGGCGACTCTTGGTTCAGAGTAGCACTGGCGGTACGGATACTCTCTCGTCTGAGTCGAACCAACCGAGGTGGTGTCGTGTCGCCCAAGGGCCGCCATCGATGGGCGTTACCGCCTCCCCCCAACCATCCCCCTGTCCCATCATTACTACAGGTTACAGCCGACAGCCCAGCCCGTCGCGATGGTGATTGATTTCCTGATGAAGTCGCGGACATCGGGCGCCACTGGCTGAATGGGGATCGAATGGGTTGAAGCGTTGCAGGGAAGACGAGCAGGGGGCCTCTCTCGGCATCGAGCGGAGAGCTGGGGGACGGGACGTGATTGGGCTGGCCATGTGCCAGGGAGGGGCCGGCGCCAGGGAGCAGGGCGCTTCGCAGGGGCACTAACGGGCGATCTCCGCATCTCATAGGTAGGCAGAGTCGGCCGGGCGTGCTGGATGCAAGAGCGCAAGCACCAGCCAATCACAGCGCTCAAGGGCGTGATATCACCAACCACTTGCATCGACCAGCCCGTGCCTGGGCGGTAAGGTTCGATGGACGGCACCCAAGCAGGCTCGGGGGGCTCAGGGCTCAGCGGTGACAAGCGAATGGTACCTTGATTCCTAAATTCCAACCTCTCGCTCTCTATCTCGCTGTCGCCCTCAAAATCCCTCAAGAGTTGCTTAATTGGAATTGCCGTCGAGATGCTGTGCAGTGTCTAATCATCGATTAAGGATGAAGAAGCGTATCCCAATCTATAGTACTGATAGAGATAATATCGCACTATAAAATGGGCCATCATCAGACAAGTTCTTTCGGGACAATGTCCAGTTATACGAAACTAAGGGCTTTTGTACGCTGCAAGTACCTAGTTGGCCCATCGGATGGCCTGGTCCCTTCAACGGGCAAATACCAACTCCTCCTCGTGGGACACATTGACTCTTACTTGCATATCGTCCCACCCCCACCGCGACCATCATCGGGGACTGGGGGGCGGGGGCCGGATTCTGCGAGCATCACATCTAAGATGCTCAACGAACGAGGCACCCACGCACACGACGATCGTCCTTATATACGTACGATAGCATACTACACACCACAACGATATTTTTAGATTGTGCTGAATACTTAAAATCAATAAGGCCCCAGTCGTGATTGTCAAGTTGTACGTAACACACAAGTCTAGCACTGCCAGGCGGCAGGTCCCGGAACCGAACCAAGGCTGCGGGTACCCGGCACTCCGTATCACACGTGTGTGTACAACCAAACGCTTCTTCGGAAACATTGGGTCCAATGCATGGGAGCCAAGCAGCCTCGTCAACGGCCTGAGGCTGGAATGTCATTGATATCGCATCGAAAATATACAGAACCAGGCACGCCTGGATCTTGACATCCTACACTCTCAGTCTACTTGTCTCCCGGGGCTAAAAGATGATGGAGGGTATATAGCTGACCTACAGCCTCCTCCTCCCATAATGCCAATGACTGCTCGTGCTGACTGCATCCCCCGACGAAATGCTCTACAAATGCCATCGTCATATGGTGATTGATGATACAGGGTGAATCCCTGCTCCTCTCCAGCCGGTGTCCCTCCATCCTCAGTCGTCTCTATATCAACCGCGAGGCAAGATGGCGACATCGTGCCTATCAGCTATAATCCCAACACACCATCCCCGGAGCCGCCAAGTCTGAGTGTGTTCTATTCTTATAGTCTTGTGGTTGAACTTGACGTCTTCACTGCACAACCCTCTATGCGATCCCGTCGCTCACGCAGCTTAGCTAGCTAGTCCTCGAACGCGAAAGGAGCAGCTAGTCCGTAAGCTCAATGCCATACGCATATTCGCCGACGTCCGCGCGATCGACTTATTTGTTCGTTGAGTTGATCCTCACCCGATTATCCATCTGCAGGCGCTGTGAACAAATACCGTGAAAGTAGCTTGCTGGGCTCACGGGAATATTGTCTCAGCAATATCATTCACGCTAAAGTGGGAGTTCTGACAGCGTCAGCTCTGACATATACGCCCTGCAATAACGTCTGGGGGGTCATGGATGAGTTCACCAGGTTAATATGACCGTTGACATTCTTCGTCTATCAAATTATTGAGCTGTGTCAAATGCAATAACTGGGGAAGTCGATAGGTAGATGAAATATCTAATCTCACCTAGCCCGCGATACTTATGGCTACTGCTTTACTATATCTTATCTAGCGTTGTCATGGATAGAATAGCAGTTCTGTATAACGACACTACTGCTAGCAAGGTGTCAAGATAACGGGCGCACTAGTATACCAAGGTGGACATTAACTGCGAAGTGGCTGAAGCAAGTTTTGATAACAATTCGTTGATTGCTGAGAGGGCGCTATTAGAAAATACATATGGCACCAGTTCACGATAACGCCAAACCCCGGCATGCAACCTAGGCTGGCGGGTGCAAACGCCTCGGCCCTAAGAAGATATAGACAATAGACGCCTGCACATTATGCATACCTTAGGTACCTGGTTAAGCAGTTCGTAACAACGTTCCAATGGGCCACGGCCTTGAGTCCCTTGTAATTGTATACTACGGCACACAACCCAGAAGTGAAAAGGGGGACTGCTAGATTTACTCATGGAGAGCAGTCCACCTCCCCATACCGTTTTTGCTATCCGGGTGCGACATTAATGCCCAGGTGAGATTCTTGATTTGCACATCAATACTATAAGTTAGCTTTAGCCTACCATGTCGGCTTCAGATATAGATGCAATCCAGAAGCCCGACAACCCGATCGCTCCATGTCGGGTGAACTATACCGAAATTAGACTAGGTAATGGCGAGCTTTGCGCTACTTGAGCTAGGTTACCTCCCATGCTTTTCATTACACCAATCAATTGGCCTCGTGGCCCAATGGCAAGGCGTCTGACTACGATTGTGACTCAATACGAGTCCCTTAGGATAATCAGGAGATTCTGGGTTCGACCCCCAGCGAGGTCAAATTTTTGCATTCTTTCATGTTTCCTCATATTAGACACGGCTCTATTTTCACTCTTTTTTATTCCTTAACTTTAAAAGATGGGGCCTGTTCTGGGATGGCGCAAATGGTATTTAACACGTGTCCACCAGAGCCACCGCAGTGCTTTAGGATGCCTGGATAGATAGACAGTATCGTTCCCGAGGTGCACCACGAGCAGGTAGTCTAAATACGGTAATGCATAACATTAGAGAACATGAGAACTGAGACGAGGATATGAGTGAGTCCATAGGCTGGATATTCGTATATGTGCATTAGGTTATCATTAGATTATATTTGGTAGGGGTATCCTTCATCATTTCCTTGTCTTCCTTGCATGCTTCACCAGGTTTTCTATCACACCCTCAAACGCCTCCCGGTCGCCGATCTTCTCGTCTGTGCGCTTCTTCCAAAACTCGTGCACCTCGTTTGCTAGAACCTCCATCTCTTTTAGTTTTCTCACATGCCGTTGCAATTCGATGTCGGTCATTCCGCCTAGAGCCTCTTCTGTCGTGGCGCACAATTGCTTCGCCGCGACTAGATCGAATGCCGGGAGCTGGGGAGGGGCTCTTCGTCTTTGCGAGCCAGATCTGGGTTTCTCCTTACCCTGGGAGTCCACCGAGACAGATGACCCGTTGGCACCTGATTTCCGGAGCCTAGACACGGAGCGCGAGTCCGTGGAAGTTCGAAGCGAGCCATTTGAGGTGACTCGGTGAAGGGACGGAAGAACTAGTTTTTTCTGTTTGGATGCAGGCAGGATCTCGTCCAGATCTACGGGTACACCGAGTGACACTAGGAAAAGTCTCCTGATGCGGGAACGAATCCAATCGGGAGGTTGAAGAGGAGGCGGCGCAGCTAACTGTGACCATAATGATGCGCTTCTCGGGTTGAAGAAGATGGGATTATCGTTTGGCGGTGAGGTTAAAGGGGGAATATCGAGTACGTTGGGTGGGAATAATGCATCCAAGTAGGGCTCAGAGGCGGCCAAGATGTCTTCAGAGTCTAGCCCGTCAAGGTCTAATATTGGCTTTAGGCATATAGGAGTCAGCAAAGTTGTAATAAGGCTATCTAAGGAGGGCGCTAGACACACAAATGAAGGTATAGAGACTTGTGGCCGGCTTGCCAGCGACTGAGCGGTTGTAGGTGCTTCAGCCTGCTGAAAGCCGTCATCAAAATCGCCAAAATCCGCATCTTCGTCGCCCTCTTCGAACTCGTCAAAGTCGTCGCCAAAATCGTCATCATTGTCATTCGCCTCCTCGTCGCGAAGGCTTGCGATTGATCTAGCTGCTGAAGATTTCCGCCGTCTATGCGTTGACGGTGACTTCAATGTCTGGTTCACAGCCGTGTCATCTACGAGGGGGCAGGGTCAATCGCAGTGTGGATTTAGGAGGACTTGGCTGCCGTACCACTGTTTTCTGTGCTGAGGTCCAGGGGAGCCGGGATAGGGTTGGCCTCGCCACTGACACTGGGCCTTCGAACGATATCTGGTGTAGCATCTGCCTGGTGCAGCTGCTCGTTATAGGCGTGAGTTGAAGAGCCAGGGGCGTCTTCTGTCTCGTCGACCACTGTTTTAGGGATGGCAGCGTTTCCGGCTGCAACGGCCTGGCTCGATGCAGGCGGAGACTGCTCGTCTGGTACAATGGCAATCTCATCTGGCGAGGCATCCTCTGTCCTTTTCTCGTAGGCCGCAGTTCCGGGGACCTCTCCGTAAGAAGGCTCGTCGTCGACTTTCTCGACGCGGGTTCTTGGTATCGGAGAAACCGCCCTGGTATTGCTCGCAGGGGACGACTGAGCATCGGAATAGTGCTCGTCTGAATCGGAGGCTTCTGCTAGAAACAACGTGGGTTAGGCCGTGACTGGAGACGTCGGGACAAGACACATGTGCTTACCCAACTCGTGCGCCCCAGGATCCTCAGTCCCTGTCCTGGCAGGCGCCTCGAGGCTTGAGGAAGATCTGCGTCCCGCGGACATGTCGAGCGGCTTATTGGCTAGATACACGCCTGGTATTATACGCTGCCCGCGACGAAGATCGAGCGCTACTCGGAACGCAGGAGAGATGTTGTGTTCGGATGTTCCAGGGTGGTGCCTCCAGATGGTTGAGGGGTAGAGCAGTCGAGGGTAGCTCGGGGGCTTGGGCGGGCAGGGAGAGAATGCGGCGTCGAAGGTGCGGCGTGGGTTGAGTCGCAGGTGAATGGTGTTAAGTGAAGCTTATACTTGACTTTGACCTTGGGTAGGTAGGTACCGAAGGTATGTGCAGATGACGGAGCAAGCTAAATTAGTACGGCCCTCATCGCAGACGCAGTCTTCTCCCTCGAGGCTAATACTGAGGATCGGGGTTGTAGTTAGAGGATCGGGGACGGAGAACCTCATCGGATGATTTAGCTGTAGCACTGAGTGGTAGCGTATAGGAGGTGTGCCATAAAGCATCTAAGTTATAGTTGTGGGGCCAGTGGAGAGACAGGTCTGGACCGTCTGTGTCAATTCAGGACTTTCAGGTTACACTGTTTGTGGCTTACGAGCAGTACACATCCTGGAAGGTACGTACCTCTACCCACTTGTAAGGCAGCACGCTGCACAATGCAAGACCTGTGGCTCAAGCGGGCAGTCAGTCACTGAAGCAGCTGCCACAATCTCCCGGTTGCCAGCCACCTGGAGGCTGGCACTGTACCAGCGCGTCCCTGCTGGCGAGCTTGTCGCGCAAAAAGTTAGTCGTTTACAGCATCCTAGCATTACCTAGGTAGGTAACTATTCTCCTAAATTGCGACAGTGACCGAGAGGCGCTTCTCACCACTGCGAGACGACTGGTTTTCTTCATCTAGCCATTACTGGTTTCCATCCACCAAGCACGAAATCCGTCTGCCCTCCAGCAACCCGGCCGAACCTCGCCGAACCTTAGCGCCCTGGGCTGGAGTGCAGCCTCTTAAGAGGCCACTGATCGAGCTCTCACATTCTACCCTCTACACTCCTCGTCGTCTCCCTGCCCTCACCAGCCTCCATTCCGAGGAACGGCCAACACCCCAGAATGTCCTCCTTCGGCGCCTCGAGTTCGGGGCAACCCAACAACAACAACAACAACACAACCACTGCAGCAAACGGCGGTGGATTGTTTGGATCGTCAACAACGACGACGCCCGCAGGCGGTCTGTTTGGTGGACCGACGAAGGCTGCACCCGCATTTTCATTCGGGAATACGGCCAGTGGAGGCAATAGCCCTGCAACTACCCCATTAGGCACCTCGGGTGGTAGTTTGTTTGGAAACACGGCTGCTAAACCGGGCGAACAGAAACCGCTCTTCGGAGCCACGAGCAGCGCTGCAGCCGGCTCATCTACACCATCATTAGGTGGCGGTACTAGTGGGGGTCTCTTTGGGAGCTCGTCAGCGACACCGTCGGGCACCGGTTTATTTGGAAGCAAACCGGCGGCAACATCGTCCGCAACGGGTACCAGTCTCTTCGGTAACGCATCTTCGACCCCCAACACTACCAACGCCACAACAACAAGCACAACGCCGACCACATCGGCTCCCACCTCCAAGATCTTCGGTCAAGATAGCAATATAACGAGCCAGGGAACTGCTGCTAGTAAACCGGGGGGGCTGTTTGGCGGAAGCGGTGCGACTACCGGGGTTTCTGCTTTTGGTGGCACAAGTACCATCCCTACACCGGCTACCCAGGCAACACCGGCGAAGCCCCTGTTTTCTCTCAGCTCGACAACACCAGCAGGTGCACCTCCTTCAGACGCCTCTAAACAGTCCACGGCGGGAGGTCTTTTCGGTAACACAGCCAATAAGACCGCTCAGAGTGGCTTATCGCTGTTTCCCTCTGCTCAGCAGGGCGAAAAGAAGGAGAGCCAGACGTCCAGCTTGTTTGCCAACCAGGCTAACTCGCAAATAAACGCCACAACGACGCAGCCCACCGCCTCATTATTTTCTGGTACAACCCAACCTCAGCAATCAGGTGCTTCGCTCTTCGGCACTGCTAAGCCTACGGAGACATCGTCTTTGTTTGGCTCAAAGCCAGCAACTACGGAAAACACCAGTGGTGGTTCGGGCAGTGCATCGGCCTTTGGGCAACAAACGCAATCCAAGCCTGCTGAGACCGCAGCATCAGCCAAGCCAGCTTCTTTGTTCGGAAATACATCTGCCCCAACAACATCGGGAGGCTCCCTGTTCGCCAACTCTGCCAGCGCAAGTCAGGCTCCGAGCACATCAGCGTCAGCACCCACAGCCACGCAAACCCCATCGCTCTTCGGGAATGCAAGCAAGCCTACGACCGGTACAACTACCCTTGAGCCCTCTAAACTCCAGCCTGGAAAGCCCGCTACTGGCAGTACCACTTCCGAGGCCCTAAAGCCTTCAGGCCTTTTTGGTGCAACGCCGGCGCCGAAGGCGGCATCTTCCACGGCTATGGCTGCGCCTAGCACTAATGCCGCTGCCCCAGCTACTACAATGGCCTCGACAACTACCGCGGCGCCATCAACTGGTTCGCTCTTCGGTACTGCAGCCAAGGCCACGCCTTCAGAATCGGCCACATCAAAGACCACCGCTTCTCAGGCAGCTGCTTTGGGCGCCTCAACGAGTGGTCCCACCTCCTCCATGGCGCGCCTAAAGAACAAAACTATGGATGAGATCTTGAATCGCTGGGCAACAGATTTATCCAAGTATCAGAAAGAGTTCAAAGAGCAAGCTTCTCAAGTAGCAGCCTGGGATCGTTTACTTGTTGAGAATGGTGACAAGATTCAAAAACTCTATCTCAATACGTTCGAGGCGGAGAAGGCTAGCCGCGAAGTCGAGCGACACCTTATCACGGTCGAAAGCCAGCAAGAAGAGCTTGAATCCTGGCTAGACAAGTACGAAGTTGAAGTAGATGCACTGTTTTCTAAGCAAATTGGTCCCGGTGAGCAGCTCATTGGTCCAGATCAGGAGCGTGAGCGGACATACAAGCTGGCTGAGAAGATTACGGAGCGTCTTGATGAGACGGGCCGG